ATTTTGGGGGGTGTTTTGACTGTAAATTTAGTGGGGTATTTGGGGTACTCAAAAAGAAATATTTGGGAAAAGGGTTTTTGTGTTGTTTGGAAAGTTTTTAAAGGTACTTTTGGGGAGTATTCAAAGATTTAAGGGGAAATGTTTTGAAGGTGTTTTAAAGTGAGGGGTGTGTGCGCATTAACCCTTTGTAATTTTGTTTAAAAATTGGGGACCCAGTGAATTTATCGAAAAGTGGTTTTAAGTGTTTTTGGTGACTTTTTTTGATGAAATAGTTTTAAAAAGAGAAAAAAATTTTGGGTTTTTGATGAAAAAAATTTTTGAGGGTTGGTTGGAGTGTGAGGGGTTTGGGAGGGTGAGGAGGAGGGGAAAAGGAAGGTTACTTCGTGGGGAGTGACCCGAGATGAAATAGTTTAAAAAACGAGAAAAATTCTAGGGCTTGTGTTGGGATTTTTTTTTAAAGAAATGTGGATTGGTTTGGGGAATAACGAAAAAAATGGGAAATTTTTTGGGATAACCGGGGTTTAAAAGTGAAATGTTTGCCCTATGTTTTATATGAAATGCATTGGGTTTTATAATAAATGTTATTCCCCCATTTTAAAAATTAATGTTTTGCTCGACAAGATTCACCTGTGGTGTGAGGTCAACACGGACGCACTGACCGCCCCGGGAAACCCAGGGGGGGTGACTCCCCACTTTGTTTAGACCTGTTGAAAAAGAAAGTACCATGCCCCCTAGGAGGGGTTTTATTTTTTAAAGCTTTCCCCCAAAAGGGGGGGGAAACCAAAAAAATTGATCCAAGGAGATGGGGTCTTTGGGAAAACGAAAAAACTTGATCCAAGGGGATGGAGGGCCCTTGGGATTTTCGGAAAACCTTGATCCGAGGGGATGAAGTCTTTGTATTATCAGAAAAACCCTTTATCCCCGAATGGAGGTTTTTTGTATTATCGAGAAAAAACCCCCATCCAAGGAATTGGAGTCTTTGTTTTATCGAGAAAAAAAATTGGGGGTCAAGTGGGAGTCCATTTTGAATGCTTTCCCCCAAGGGGGGGAAACCAAAAAAACTTTATCCGAGGGAAAAAAAACCCCAAAAACCCCCGGGCCCGGGGGTTTAACCCTCGACCACCCACCCCCCCCTAAACCATATTTTCTCCCCCACTTTCCTTGGGAAACCCCCATGGGGGGTTTGAATTTCTTGGCTCCCCCTCGTCAAATTTTTGAGGTTCCCCCTCTCCCCACTTTTACCCCCAACCCCAAATTTTTTTCCCAATTTTCCCTTTTCCCTTTTCTCTCCCCGGATCAAATTTTTTTAGGTTCCCCCCCCCGTCCCACTTTCCCCCCCCATCCCAATTTTTTTCGAATTTTTATTTTTTTTAGGGTCTCCTCGGATCAAAAACTCAAAGGGAAAACGTAAAGACAAAGGGTTTCAAACAAACCAAAACCCCACTGGGATTGAACCCGGGGGTCCCCCGGGGTCCCCCCCAAAAATCCAGCCCGTCGTGTTAAACCACTAACCAGCTACCCAATAAGAAATTTGTCCAAAAGGTAAATTTTTACAAACCCTAGGAAGGTTTGCACGGCCACCATGTGAAACCCCAAATGCAAGTTTTTTAAAAGACGAATCTTTCCGCTACGGGCCCCCTGACGAAATCTTTCTCAGTCCCCTCAATGCTGTCAACAAAAACTCCCGAAACGTAATGACACGATTGCAAACCCAAAACCCAAAACCCCACGGCTGGGGTTAACCCGCGGGCAGAGAGTCTATTGGGTAACCCCGACGGGCTGGAGTTTTGAGACTCTCTGACCACGGGTTTTAATCCCAGCTTGGGGGATGGTTTTTTTTCAATCCCTGTCATTACGATTTCGTAGTCTTGATCCGAGGGGAAACATAAAAAAAAATGAAATTCGAAAAAAATTGGAAAGGGGTGGAAAAATGGGACGGGGGGCCTCAAAAAAATTGGGGTCCAGGGAGAGCACAAGAAAATGAATTCGAAAAAAAAATTGGGGTGGGGGTGAAAGGGGGGGAGGGGAACCTTTAAAAATTGATCCGAGGGAGCAAAGAAATTCAACCCCCCCCTAGGGGAAAATTTCCCAAGGGAAATGGAGGGGAAAAAATATGGGTTTAGAGGGTGAGGGGGTCGAGGGTTTAGGTCAAGGCGCAGGTCGGTGGGGGACGGGGGTGGGGCTCGGGCAGGGGGTGCATTTCTCGAAGGGGTCCGCTCAGAGGTAGGAAAACCCCTCTGAAAAAAACCCTTTCCGGGGGGAGCCACTGGGTTTGGGGGCATGGGGGGGGTCATGGTTTTGGGGGCATGGGGGGGGTCATTTGGGGGGGGGTCGTGGGGGGGGGTCGTGGGGGGGTCGTGGGGGGGGCCAAAGAGGGGGTCATGGTGGGGTCATGGGGGGGGTCATGGGTGGGGGTCCCTGGGTGGGGGGCATGGGTGGGGGGGCGTGGGGGGGTCATGGGGGGGGGTCGTGGGTGGGGGGCATGGGGGGGGGTCAAGGGGGGGGGGTCCCTGGGTGGGGGGCCCTGGGTGGGGGTTTGGGTGGGGGCGGGGTGGGGGGCATGGGGGGGGGTCGTGGTTGGGGGGGGCCGGGGGGTGGGGTCGTGGGTGGGGCCCTGGGTGGGTCATGGGGGGGGGTCAAGGGTGGGGGCCCTGGGGGGGGGTCGGGGGGTCCCTGGGGGGGTCCCTGGGTGGGGGGCGTTGGGGGGTTCAGGGGGGGGTCATGGGTGGGGGCCATGGGGTTTGGGGGGCGTGGGTGGGGGGGCCAAAGGGTTGGGGTTTGTGGGGGGGATCATGGGGGGGGGTCGGGGGGGGGCATGGGGGGGGCCTTTGGGGGGGTCAAGGATGGGGGGGCGTGGGTGGGGGGGCGTGGGTGGGGGCATGGGTGGGGGTTTTGGGGGGGGTCATGGTGGGGGCATGGGGGGGGGGTCGTGGGTGGGGGCCTGGTGGGGTCATGGGTGGGGGCGTGGGTTGGGGGGTTGTGGGGGGGTTGTGGGTGGGGGGCGTGGGTGGGGTTTTTGGTTTGGGGGGCGTGGGTGGGGGGCATGGGTGGGGGGGCGTGGGTGGGGGCATGATGGGGGTGGGGGGGGGTCAGGGTGGGGGGGCGTGGGTGGGGGGCGTTTGGGGGGGGCTCATGGGTAGAGGGGCCCTTTGGGGGGGGTCGGGGTTTGGGGGGCGTGGGTGGAGGGGCCCGGGGGGGGGTTTGTGGGGGGAGGGCGTGGGTGGGGGCCCTGGGAAAGGGGCCTGGGTGGGCACAAGGGGTGGGGGGCGGGGGCGGGCCAAAGGGGGGGGTGGGTCGGGGCGAGGGCGGGTTTTCCCAAAAGGGGGGGAGGGGGGGGGTAGTTTGGGGGGGGGCTGGGGGGGGGGGTTGAGGGTGAGGGTCTGGGGGGGTTTAGGTGGGGCTCGAGGGTGAGGTGGTCCCTTTAGGAAGAGGTTTAAGGTCCTTACATATAGGGTGAAAAGGGAGCCACTCAGGGAAAGAAACCCCCCGGGAAAGAACCACCTGTAGAAGTTTTTTTTTGGAGGAGCCAAACTGTGGGAGCCCCTCGAAAAGGGGCCCTTTTTAGGAGGAGCCCTACTGGGGAGCCACCGTAGAAATCACACTCCCGTTATATCTTCGAAATTGGCCCAACCTTGTTATTTAACTATTGTAAAAGGGAAAATTTTTAAAACTTAATATTATAGCACGAAAGTCCCCGTTTAAAAGCAAAAAAAGAGACTTTCGGCGTTTTAAATTTTTATCCTTAATAATGAAAAATACCATGGGAATTATCACTATTTTGTATTTTCACTATTAAAATTTTATTTATTGTTAGGTAGGGTTTCTTTTTGTAAAAATAGAGTTTAAGTTCCCCGGAACCAACCGGTGAAAATTTTTCCCAAATTTTTTTATGTCCGGCTGGCTGACGTTTGGGCCCCTGATCCAACCCCGAAAGACATGTCAAAAAACGGGGAAAATATTTATCTCTCCCACTCTAGCTCTGACAACTGATCGAAAAAATTGGCCCCTTACGGGTACAGTTGAAGGTTTTTTGAGAATTGGATTTTTAGAGCTGCCCCACGGGTTTTTTCCTCATTTACTTTGAAAGACCTTTTTTATATTTTTTATTCTTTGGGCAAAATTCAGTAATCCATAGATACTTTAAAGGCCCAATTCAAAGGGCTTGTTAAAAAATTGTTTCCTTTTTTATTTTTGTTTACAAATCTTGTTAAACAAAGACTAAATGTTAGAAAAAACCGAAAATTTCAAGAAGAACAATTAAACGTCCTTATAAATTTACCCTTTCCATATTTTTAGCCCAAAGCATAGGGGAAATTTTGTACAAAAATTAAGTTTTCATTAAAATTTAAAAAAAGAAAATAAAGTATTATAAATTTTAAAAACTTTTTAAAAAATTTGAAAATGGATTTCCAGGTTGGGAAAATTTTTTTTCCCCTAGCTCTTAAAAAATTTAAAAAAAACCCCGGATCCAAAAAAAACTTGTTGCATAAGAAAAGAATGGTAAAAAAGGTCACATTTTGAAGTTTTTTAAAAAAAAATTTTTTTTATTTTGCAAAAATATAATATACATTTTAAAACTTGTCAGGTCACCTGGAGTTGCCCATGTAAAAACGTCACAAGTATAACTAATGCGACTTTGTAGCGACGTTTCGCCCTCCAAGAACTTTGTCGGTAATTTTATTATCACCTTCAGTTTATACACATTATATATAAACATTAGTGTTTATATATATAAATGAAGATTGAGACATGCAACATATGGGAATGTTTATTAAGGAAACGTTTCGCCACACAGTGACTTCATCAGTCCAATTTAAAGCAGAGAGGGTTAAGGAGAGGAGCTGAGATAATCAGTCCCTCAACCTGGAATCGATGTCTTCAGTCCCAGGCTGAGGGACTGATTACCTCACGCTCCACCTCTCCTTACACCTTCCTGCTTTGTATTGAACTGATGAAACCAGAGAATGTGTTCAGAAGGTTCCCTGACGTCCAGGAAGATACTGAAGGATCACGATGGTGTTCTACGGTATTGTGTTTGTTTTACCAGTTATTGTTTATATGCAATTGTCAACAGAATTACTCTTGCAATATCAGTGAAATTAAGAGTGGAGAGAGTACTTACACGGAATGTTGCTGCCAGATTGTTGATGCAAGTTGCAGACTCCTCAGCCTCGTTCTTCTTATCTCTCCCTCTCGTTGCATCCTGTCAAAACAGTATATTGTGTTACTTTTAATTATATAAATACGGTGTTCGTACTGGACCTCGAACTAACAGCACTCTGAACAGTTTTGTTCAGAATAACCTGACCTGGTCTTCGAACATTTTTCTGGAGTACGAACTCACTGGTTTGTTTACAATTCACTGGTAAGAATTTTTTACAGGAAAGTCTTTTAAAGAACATAAGAAGAACATAAGAACGAAGGAACACTGCAGAAGGCCTACTGGCCCATGCGAGGCAGGTCCAAGTCTCCTACCGGCTTAAGCCAATGCACCCAACCTAGTCAGGTCAGGTCACCTTGACTTAAGGGAGGAACACGGCAACCGACCTGGTAGCACAAGCTATCAGGTCTAACTCACACCCACCCACATCCACTCATGTATTTATCCAACCTATTTTTAAAGCTACACAACGTTCTGGCCTCTATAACGGTACTTGGGAGTTTGTTCCACTCATCCAAAAACTCTATTACCAAACCAGTACTTTCCTAAATCCTTCCTGAATCTAAAATTTTTCCAACTTAAAACCATTGCTGCAGTCCTGCTAGGCTAGATATTTTCAGCACACTATTTACATCCCCTTTATTTATTCCTGTCTTCCATTTATACACCTCAATCATATCCCCCCTAATTCTACGCTTTCTAGAAGTGCAGATTCAGGCCCTTTAGTCTATCCTCATGGGGAATTTCTGATACATGGGATCAACTTTGTCATCCTCCTTTGTACATTTTCCAGAGAATTTATATCCATTCTGTAATAAGGTGACCAAACGTGCAGCATAATCTAAATGAGGCCTAACCAAGGATGAATAAGTTGAAGAACAAACCTGAGGACTCCTATTATTTATGCTTCTTGATATAACCCAAAGGGAAATTCTATTAGCTTTATTGCGAACACTTAGCACTGTTGTCTTGGTTTCAGATTACTGCTAACCAAACTCCTAAATCTTTTTCGCAATCCGTAATATTAAGATCTACATTATTTAGTTTATATGTGGCATGATTATTGTCCTGTCCAACTTTTAGAACTTTGCATTTGTCTATATTAAACTGCATCTGCCACTTCTCCGACCACTGCATCAGTCTATTCAAATTTTCCTGAGTGCTCGAATGTCCTCGTCAGAATGAATTCGACGCCTATTTTGGTGTAAATGGGAAAACCCTTGCCGATGTCGTTTCTTATGCCCTCATCTATGTCGTTTATGTAGATTGTGAACAGCAGGGGCCCAACACTGACCCCTGTGGAACACCGCTCGTGACATTTTCCCCACTCTGATTTCCCCCATTTATGCAAACTTTTCTGCTGCCTATTTGTCAACCATGCCTCTAAACCAGGAAAAAATTTCTCCTCCTATTCCAGGGGCTTTAATTTTCCTCAATAGTCTCTGATGTGGGACCCTGTCAAAAGCCTTACTGAAGTCCAAAACACAATATCATATTCATTACCATGATCTACCTCCTCAAATACCTTAGTGAAAAAAGTTAATAAATTCGAAGGGAGGAACGCCCCTTTGTAAAACCATGCTGAATTCGTTGATTAATTTATGCTTTTCAAGGTGGGCTACGAACTGCCTCGGCAATTATTGATTCCATAAATTTTCCCACTATGGAGGTTAGGCTTATTGGGCTATAGTTCGAAGCTAAGGGCCTGTCACCTGTTTTGAAAATAGGGATCACATTTGCCATTTTCCACTTATCTGGCACCATGCCAGTTTTGTAGTGATATGTTGAAAAGAAATTTGCCAAAGGTGGGGCTAAGCTCCTCTTTACATTCCTTTAGAACCCTTGCATACGTTTTATCAGGGCCTGGGGATTTGTTAGGTTTTAATTTATCTATTTGCCTAAGGACCATGTCACTTGTGACCCTAATAGTACACAGTTTATTATCGTCCTGTTCTACATAATTTATCATTACTGGAATATCGCTGGTATCCTCCTGTTAAAAACTGAGAGGAAGTATGTGTTAAAAATTCTACACATTTTCCCTTTTCACTGTCAGTGAGCTGACCCGAGGGAAATTTTGAGTGGGCCTATCTTGTCCCTGATTTTTACTTCTGTAAACCCGAAAGAATCCTTTTGGGTTAGTCTTCGATTTTCTTTTCAACTTTAACCTCCCTAATCCTTTTGCTTTCTAATTCCCTTTTTTATTTCTTCTCTTTAACTGAATATACGATTTCTCAATTGCCCCTCTCCTCTTTTTGTTTGCCTTTTATGCCTCTCTTTTTACCAATCAGATATTTTAATCTATTTTCATCCCCTTTAGGATCATTTTTGTTTGATCTGATTTCCCTATTTGGAACATAATTTGACTGAGCAGCTAGAACTATGCCTGGAAAAGCATCATATCGCAACCATCACCACCTACCTGACCCTTAGTCAGGTCATTCCAGTTCAGCCCACCTAAGTAATTTTTCAGTCCTATGAAATCAGCCAAGCGAAAGTCAGGGACGGAGACTTGATTGCCATTATTAGGGGAATTCCATGATATATTAAAACTGAGTGATTTGTGATCACTTTCCCCAAGCTCATCATTAACCTCAAGATTATTAATTAGTGTTTCCCCTACTGGCAAGAACCAAGTCAAGGAGGTTATTTCCCCTAGTTGGCTCTGTCACAAACTGTTTTTAAAAAACAATCCTGGATCGTATCAAGAAAGTCACCTGACTCTAAATTCCTGTCAAATTGCTCCAGTCAATCTGTCTATAGTTGAAATCTCCCATTAGCACAACATTTTCGTATGTAGATGCCTTACGAATTTCGTCCCATAGAAGTTTACTGCACTCCCTATCAAGATTTGGGCCCTGTAAATCACACCCAAAATTAGTTTTTCTCGGCCCTCGAGAAGCTGTAACCAAACAGATTCAGTGGCTGACGCTTCTAATTTATATCTTGTCTAACACAACAATTTAAATTGTCTCTGACATACATCGCTACTCCACCACCTTTCCTGTTGACCCTGTCAGTGTGGAATAATTTATAGCCTGTATGTGACATTCAGAGGCATCTCTCTATCTTTCAGATTGAGCCAGGTCTCTGTTATAGCAATAATATCTATGTCTCCTGCACTTGCAATTAATCTTAGCTCATCTATCTTATTTCTTACACTCCTGCTATTAGTATAGTAAACCTTAAGGGAGCTAGTCCCTTGCTGCCCTCTGCTGTCCCCCTTTGTTTGCTGACCTGATCTATTGTCTTTATTTATAACTCATGCTGAATGCCTTTTATACATTTACTGTTTCCAACCCAAGTGTTGCAACCTGCTTGTTTCCCACACAACACCCATACCTCTATCTTCCATCAGTTTAAAAATCATAGGCATTACACCAATGGCCTTCTCAATCGAGTCTGCAAGTGCTACCACCCCAGCCCCAGAGAGATGTACCCCATCCCTTGCATACATATCATGTTTGCCATAAAAGTTGTTCCAGTTGTCAATGAATGGGAAATTGCATGTTCCTTGCAGTATCTGTCTAGCCAGCAATTTACACCAATTGCCCTAGACAACCATTCATTTCCTACTCCCCTTCTAGCAAGATGCTACATATGATTGGGATCCCTCCCTTAGACTTAATGAAATCTATAGCTGACCTGTACTTATCTAGCAGCTCTTCTCTCCTACCCTTCCCAATATCATTTCCACCAGCACTGAGACAGATAATGGGCTTGCTCCCATTACCTGACATGATATTAATCCAGCCTGTTGACAATGTCTCCAACACCAGCTCCAGGGAAGCACACTCTATCTCTCATCTTCTTATTCCTATTACAAAAAGCACGGTCAATGTATCTTACCTGAGAGTCACCAACCACAAGAATGCGCTTACCTCCATTAGCAGGGCAGTAGTACCCTTACCTTCACTGGCCACTGAAGTACATTCATCCTGAAGAACAGAGAAGCGATTCCTACCTTCAGATCTTCACTCTTAACTTTCCTTACTCTGATGCGCCTTCCATTACTGTGAACTACTCGCCACTTGTAGCAGGTGCTGGGCTGCACCTCACTGCTGGTAGCCGTTGCTGCCACCCCAACTACAGCCTCCTCACAGCGAGAGACAGACTGCACCTTGCTGCTAGAAGCCTCATTCCCCACAACTCCAGCCACCTCACACTCTCTCCCAGCCCCATTGAGGTGGACCTTCAGCCTCCTAATCTCCTCCTGGAGAAGCAAGACCTCCTCCTTCAACTCTCCAACCCCAATTTTTAAAACACTGCAGAAGCAAGCCATGCTTTGTAACCGTCCACACTAATCCCCAAGGCAGCTCAGGGTCTGTGACCTCACGTGACGACTGACCACTGACCTGACTCTCAGAGACTTTGGGAAGAGTCAGTTCGACATTCTCCAGTGTTCAGACCTCACAAGAGATTGTTAAATCAGTCTACCAGGTGGAAACAATAGGGGGGGGTGTATGATGAGACCCACTACAGGAAGACTGGCAAGGACCACTGATGTGCCCAGCCTGGGTAGAAACATGGCTGGTACACCAGGCTGACCACTGATGTCCCCAGCCTGGGTAGAAACATGGCTGGTACACCAGGCTGACCACTGATGTGCCCAGCCTGGGTAGAAACATGGCTGGTACACCAGGCTGACCACTGATGTGCCCGGCCTGGGTAGAAACATAGCTGGCACACCAGGCTGACCACTGATGTGCCCAGCCTGGGTAGAAACATGGCTGGTACACCAGGCTGACCACTGATGTGCCCAGCCTGGGTAGAAACATGGCTGGTACACCAGGCTGCCCAGTTTTTGAGGAGTCTGTGGCCAACCAGTGTAGAGCTTCACCTTACTAATTTTACTGCGTCAGTACTGTTACTGTGTACTTGTGCAGTATACTTAGATAATCCCAGCTACTTTATAGATAGGCTCCCTTCTTGCTGTGACGTCACGAGTCCCATACAATTGTGCCGCCAGCTAGAGGCCTCCTCAGTTCCGCTGGGCTAGACTCGGCGACAAGGTTTCTGAGCTTCTCCTCAGTCCTGTACTGGGTTCGAATCCTGCTGGCTGTCATATTTGTATATCCTCCAGTGTGAGGATGATAAAGCCTGGCAAATACTGTTTTCCCACATCCAGCTTTTCCCAGGTCCAACACCACCTTGGTTCCACTGTATACCTGGAGTATACCTAGAGTATACCTGGAGTATACCTGGAGTGTACCTGGAGTATACCTGGAGTGTACCTGGAGTGTACCTGGAGTATACCTGGAGTATACCTAGAGTATACCTGGAGTATACCTGGAGTGTACCTGGAGTATACCTGGAGTATACCTGGAGTATACCTGGAGTATACCTAGAGTATACCTGGAGTATGCCTGGAGTATACCTGGAGTATACCTAGAGTATACCTGGAGTATGCCTGGAGTATACCTGGAGTATACCTAGAGTATACCTGGAGTATACCTGGAGTATACCTGGAGTGTACCTGGAGTATACCTGGAGTATACCTGGAGTATACCTAGAGTATACCTGGAGTATACCTGGAGTATACCTGGAGTGTACCTGGAGTATACCTGGAGTATACCTGGAGTATACCTAGAGTATACCTTGAGTATACCTGGAGTATGCCTGGAGTATACCTGGAGTATACCTAAAGTATACCTGGAGTATACCTGGAGTGTACCTGGAGTATACCTGGAGTATACCTGGAGTATACCTAGAGTATACCTGGAGTATACCTGGAGTATACCTGGAGTATACCTAGAGTATACCAGGAGTATACCTAAAGTATACTTAGAGTATGCCTAGAGTATACCTGGAGTATACCTGGAGTATGCCTAGAGTATACCTGGAGTATACCTAGAGTATACCTGAAGTATACCTGGAGTATACCTGGAGTATATCTAGAGTATACCTGGAGTATACTTAGAGTATACCTAGAGTATACCTGGAGAGGGTTTTGGGGGTCAACGCCCCCGCTTCCCGGTCTGAGACCAGGCCTCGTGGTGGATCAGGGTCTGATCAACCAGGCTGTTACTGCTGGCCATTACACGTAACAACAGACTTCAGTGAGTGTCCTTGTTATACTCTCAAAGACCCTCTGTGGTGCACTATAGTTCCTACTGAAACTAACTCAAAATTTTACCTAATCCGGTCATTATGTACCAAATGTAATTCTGCAGCATTAGGTACTCTGTGACTTAGGTTACCCCACTGATACCTCTGTCTTGCTTCACTGCGTAGCTCCTGACGACGTACCAAAGTACGAAAGATCTTGAGCTGAAGATTTCCATCCCTATGTGGCTTGTTCTTCATAAGTTGTACTCTAATTGCTTCATTATGTACTAAATCTACATCGTTAGATACATGAAAAGTACTCTGGGTCGCTATGTACTGAATTTACATCATTGGTACATAAAATGTACTCTAATTGGGTCATTATATACTAAATCTGTAGATTGAGTACACAACACAGAATGTACTCTTACAGTGTGGAACCAGCGAAGCATGTACTCCCGGTCGAGTGTTCTGGCCAGGTGTCTGGGAGTAGTGACACAGAGCTCCCTGGATAGAGCTCCTCTAACAAGCTCTCCAGAATGATGGTCAGGATCAGCTCCTAGCTGGAGTAGGTTCTCTATGTGACTCACACTGCCACTCAACACTGCTAGGAACAGTGGTGCTGATAGCTGAAATGAGAGTAATTATGTTCGTTAGTTTCTCCCTTGGTTATTGGTTATTATATATGAAATTAGCTAATGTAAGAGTAAGTAGGTACCTGGGTGTTAGTTACCTTATATCTACTGCCACTGTTCACCTAGCAGTAAGTAGGTACCTGGGTGTTAGCTACCTTACACCTGCTGTCACTGTTCACCTAGCGGTAAGTAGGTACTTGGGTGTTAGTGGACTGGTGTGGGTGGCATCCTGGGTGTTAGTGGACTGGTGTGGGTGGCATCCTGGGTGTTAGTGGACTGGTGTGGGTGGCATCCTGGGTGTTAGTGGACTGGTGTGGGTGGCATCCTGGGTGTTAGTGGACTGGTGTGGGTGGCATCCTGGGTGTTAGTGGACTGGTGTGGGTGGCGTCCTGGGTGTTAGTGGACTGGTGTGGGTGGCATCCTGGGTGTTAGTGGACTGGTGTGGGTGGCATCCTGGGTGTTAGTGGACTGGTGTGGGTGGCATCCTGGGGACAAATAAGTCGCCAGAAATGCTCAACATAACCAGGAACTTTCTATATAGTATGTCATAGGTGTGAACTATGGTCTGTATAAGTTGTATCTTGTACTGGTAGAAATATACCTTATTATTATTATTATTATTATTATTATTATTATTATTATTGTTGTTATAAACAGTGTATCACTGCTACATCAAGGTTGAGGGACTGACTACCTCAAGCTCCTTCTGATCTTCATCGGTCTTCTGTGTACTGGACTGATGAAGCCACTGTGTGGCGTAACGTTACGCAAGGATCTAATTTATCAACTTGTCGGTTCTCTGAACCATTTATCTACACTGTTGCCTCACCATCAACAGATACCAACAGGATGGTTGTTTGCCAAACAGAGACTGTTTGCTCTTACCGTTATTGAAGGTTCTGTTGTGGTTATCAGGTTTGTTAAGGTTATATTATGATAGGTCTAATATCTTTTCTAACAGATTCTAGATTTAGAAAGAAAGAACTAACCAGGTCCTTGAAGGTTCTGTTGTGGTTATCAGGTTTGTTAAGGTTATATTATGATAGGTCTAATATGTTTTCTAACAGATTCTAGATTTAGAAAGAAAGAACTAACCAGGTCCTTGAAGGTTCTGTTGTGGTTATCACGTTTGTTAAGGTTGAAGTCCTCGTCAGCCAGCAATATCTTCAGCACTTGAGTGTGACCCTTGAGGGCAGCCAGGTGAGCTGGAGTCTGACCTTCCTTGTTGACAATATTGGGACTGATAAGCTTCAGCAGGAAGCTTAACACCTCTGGCTGGTTGCTGTCTGCTGCTGCATGCAGCAGGGTGCACCCAGTCTGCTGGTCTCTAGCTGTTGGTCCTGTGAGTTGAATGACCTCTTGAAGGCGTTCTAAGTCTCCATTTTCAACTGCTTCAAACACCTCCGTCTGGAGAGGAAAAAATAATTCATCTCTGAGTCTAGAGGCAGAGATAATAAAGTTTGTGGATAGAGAGGCAGAGAGAGTTAAAGAGAGAATTAGAGATTACATGAATATATATTCCAGGATGTATATATCTCTAACTGAATATACACCAACAGGTGTATATATCTGTGTATATATGCTTAGAATTTAATCTCCAGATATCTAGAAGAGTGACTAAAGTGTATATACACACAGTGTATATACACAGTGTATATACATTGAGAGATGTACACCTTCCAGTGTATATACACAGAGAGTTTCGTTATCTTTTGATAAGGATATTTGTCACTGAGTTATCTTAGATAAAGATATCTATTAATGGTTATCTTAGTGTTGATTATTCAGCCCTTTCTCTATAAACACACACACAAGAAGAAAGGACTACACTGAAAGAGAGGGTACAGAGACGCAAGGAGGAACGAGAGGCAATGACGAAGATGAGCAGGACCCAGACACATGAGGAAGGGCAAACACACCCCACAGAATCTCCCACCAAAAGACTCCACCCGCGACATTCCCAACGCAACTGAGCAACCTATACTACAACCCACTCACTGTTCCCTCTGCCACCAACCCCCATATCACAAACCTCACCCCAACAGCTGTCCCTTATGGGCATTCTGACCCCACCCCCATCATCACAAACCCCACCTACACCACAGCCCCATATAGGCCCCCACCAAGGCTCTCGCTCCCCAACCCCAATATTCTTGCATGACCACAATGATAGAAAAGAAACTGAAAGTTTGGTACACAAACGCAGATGGAATAACGAATAAACATGAGGAGTGGAACGAAAGAATCAGTGAAAAATCCCCAGACATCATAGCAGTCACAGAAACAAAACTCGCTGAGACAATAACAGACACAATCTTCCCAACGGGATATCAGATCCCGAGGAAAGATAGAAGGAGTAGAGGGGGAGGAGGGGTTGCACTGCTCATAAAACACCGATGGGGATTTGAGGAAATGGAAGGCATGGACATGATTGGAGAAAGAGACTACATTGTAGGTACAATTCAGTCCGGAGAACATAAAGTAGTCATTGGAGTGATGTATAACCCACCACAGAACTGCAGGAGGCCAAGAGAGGAGTACGAAGAAAACAACAGGGTGATGGTGGACACAATGGCTGAGGTGGCAAGAAGAGCTCACTCGAGCAGAGCAAAGTTATTGGTAATGGGCGATTTCAACCACAGGGAGATCGACTGGGAAAACCTGGAGCCACATGGGGGTCCCGAAACATGGAGAGCCAAGATGATGGATGTGGTACTTGAAAACCTCATGCATCAACATGTCAGGGACACAACCAGAGAGAGAGGGGAGGATGAGCCAGCAAGACTGGATCTTGTGTTCACCCTGAGCAGTTCAGACATTGAGGACATCACTTACGAGAGGCCCCTTGGAGCTAGCGATCACGTGGTTCTGAGTTTTGATTATATAGTAGAGTTACAAGTGGAGAAGGTAACAGGAACTGAAGGGGACAGGCCAAACTATAAAAGGGGGGACTACACAGGTATGAGAAACTTCCTGCAGGAGGTTCAGTGGGACAGAGAAATGGTAGGAAAATCAGTAAACGAGATGATGGAATATGTGGCAACAAAGTGCAAGGAGGCAGAGGAAAGGTTTGTTCCCAAGGGAAACAGAAATAATAGGAAGACCAAAACGAGTCCTTGGTTTACCCGAAGGTGTAGGGAGGCAAAAACTAAGTGCAACAGAGAATGGAAAAGGTACAGGAGGCATAGGACCCAGGAAAACAAGGAGATTAGTAGAAGAGCCAGAAACGAGTATGCACAGATAAGGAGGGAGGCCCAGCGACAGTATGAAAACGACATAGCATCGAAAGTCAAATCTGACCCGAAACTGCTGTATAGCCACATTAGGAGGAAGACAACAGTCAAGGACCAGGTGATAAGGCTGAGGAAAGAAAGTGGAGAACTCACAAGAAACGATCAAGAGGTATGTGAGGAGCTCAACACGAGATTTAAGGAAGTACTTACAGTAGAGACAGGAAGGACTCTGGGGGGACAGATCAGATGGGGACACCAGCAAGGAATACACCAACAAGTGTTGGACGACATACATACAGATGAGGAGGAGGTGAAGAAACTGCTAAGGGACATCGATACCTCAAAGGCAATGGGACCGGAAAACATCTCCCCGTGGGTCCTTAGAGAGGGAGCAGATATGTTGTGCGTGCCACTTACCACAATCTTCAACACGTCCCTGGAAACTGGGCAACTACCTGAGGTATGGAAGACGGCAAATGTAGTTCCCATTTTTAAAAAAGGAGACAGAAAAGAGGCACTAAACTATAGACCTGTGTCATTGACGTGTATAGTATGCAAAGTTATGGAGATTATCAGGAGGAGAGTGGTGGATCACCTGGAACGGAACAAGAGTATAAATGCCAACCAGCACGGATTCATGGAAGGCAAATCCTGTGTCACAAACCTTCTGGAGTTTTATGATAAAATAACAGAAGTAAGACACGAGAGAGAGGGGTGGGTTGATTGCATCTTCTTGGACTGCAAGAAGGCCTTTGACACAGTTCCTCACAAGAGATTAGTGCAGAAGCTAGAGCATCAGGCGCATATAACAGGAAGAGCACTGCAATGGATCAGAGAATACCTGACAGGGAGGCAACAACGAGTCATGGTACGTAATGATGTATCACAGTGGGCACCTGTGACGAGCGGGGTCCCACAGGGGTCGGTCCTAGGACCAGTGCTATTTTTGGTATATGTGAACGACATGATGGAAGGGTTAGACTCAGAAGTGTCCCTGTTTGCAGATGATGTGAAGTTAATGAGGAGAATTAAATCTGATGAGGACCAGGCAGGACTTCAAAGAGACCTGGACAGACTGGACACCTGTCCAGCAAATGGCTTCTCGAATTTAATCCTGCCAAATGCAAAGTCATGAAGATAGGGGAAGGGCACAGAAGACCACAGACAGTATAGGCTAGGTGGCCAAAGACTGCAAACCTCACTCAAGGAGAAAGATCTGGGGTGAGTATAACACCGAGCATGTCTCCGAAGCACACATCAATCAGATAACTGCTGCAGCATATGGGCGCCTGGCAAACCTGAGAACAGCATTCCGATACCTTAGTAAGGAATCGTTCAAGACACTGTACACCGTGTATGTCAGGCCCATACTGGAGTATGCAGCACCTGTTTGGAACCCGCACTTGATAAAGCACGTCAAGAAACTAGAGAAAGTACAAAGGTTTGCAACAAGGTTAGTTCCAGAGCTAAGGGGAATGTCCTATGAAGAAAGATTAAGGGAAATCGGCCTGACGACACTGGAGGACAGGAGGTCAGGGGAGACATGATAACGACATATAAAATACTGAGTGGAATAGACAAGGTGGACAAAGACAGGATGTTCCAGGGAGGGGACACAGAAACAAGAGGCCACATTGGAAGTTGAAGACACAAATGAGTCAGAGAGATATTAGGAAGTATTTCTTCAGTCATAGAGTTGTAAGGCAGTGGAATAGCCTAGAAAATGACGTAGTGGAGGCAGGAACCATACACAGTTTTAAGACGAGGTTTGATAAAGCTCATGGAGCGGGGAGAGAGAGGGCCCAGTAGCAACCGGTGAAGAGGCAGGGCCAGGAGCTAAGACTCGACCCCTGCAACCACAAATAGGTGAGTACAAATAGGTGAGTACACACACACACTCACACACAAACAAACACCCCTAAACAACAAAGAGAACATTTTAAACTACAAACTGTGATAACACACACAGCTATGTCAAATGAACTCGTGGTAAATACAAGCTCCAGTCTCGCCGGTTCATCTCCCTACTCTCTCTCTCTCTCTCTCTCTCTCCTCTCTCTCTCTCCTCTGTCTCTTTCTCTTTCTCTCTCTCTTCTTTCTCTCTCTCTCTCTCTCTCTCTCTCTTGTCGTGTGTTTAACATGCTGGTTTAAAAGGTGGTTTTCCCTACGTCTCCATGTTAAATCTCCGAGGACTGTTAGGTTAAGTAAGGTTTGTCGGGAAACAGGACAAGTATTTCCTAACGCGGGTCTTAGTTATATGATGACCCGCAGCTGGAGCTTTTGGTCATCTGACCGAGGCCTTCCACTGGTTTACTACTCTACCACTTTAAAAATTAATATATACATACAGCAGAGATCTCCACCCACTTACTAAGAGATACGAACATCGTACCGTGTTGTATGAATTGTTTACTGTGTGGTTGTCTGGCCGGTGATGTTTCTTGCCTGTGTTGCGGGAGCACACAGTATTACTTTCATCTTCACGATGCTTCTTTCTCGCTGCTGTGGCTTCAGCAGTCTGTTTTCTCTTTGGAGTGTTTTCATGAGCTGTCGGAACCAGTCGCTGCGGAGCCTTGGCTTTTGTGTTGTGAGGTACAGTGTAGACTGTGTTCGTTAGGCAAGATTCACCTTCCAATTTCCCTTTCACTGTTCTGTCCTCTGTTTCCTCATCTCCGGGTATAACCTGAGATGAAGTTCCAAATCTTTCTGTTCGTGATGGCTGGGAAGCTGAAGACATTGACGGTGTAGTGTCATCAATCTTCAGAGTTCTGGAGGCACCTTCAGGTGCCTCGTCAGTAGAGGTATTACCACTAGAGGGAGACTTCGTGTGTACGTTTCTGGATTTTGTTATCGTTTTTGATTTTACGGGATTATTGATTGTAGGAAGCCTCTTAGATCGTCTTGCGTGTTGTGCCTGGGGACCTCCAGGAGCTGGCGTGTGCTGTGGATACTTCCTCACTCGGAGTTTTATTGTTAATTTTGTTGCTGGAGATGTTAATCTTTTGGGCTTGCGTTTTTTGACAGCTCGTTTTGATGTTATCCGTGAGGTGTTAATTCTTCGTTTTTTGACGGATACAGGTGCTGAAGATGCGGCCTGAAGAGTGTTCTTTCTCACGTTCCTTTTAATACCAAAAACGGATTTCTGTTGCGTCTTCACCCTTGATGTGCAATCTAATTGAAGGCCTCGGGATTTTGCTTCTCCATGTGTCTTCGAAGAAGAAATGACTGGAAGATCATCATTAGTTTCTTCTGGTTCTGTAGGTGGCACCTGCTTTGATAGCATGTTAGACCGTCCATGACTCCATGTTTGTGTAGACGCACACACTCGTCCGTACACCGACTTATTCACAGATGTTTGCGTGGAGACGCACATTGGGGAGGGGTCGTAAGCTTCAACAAAGACTGGTGTGGAACCCCTGGAACTCTCATCTGACGGAGTTTCGTTAGATATATCTGCGTGGAACTCCTAGACAATCCATAAACCCGCGTTTGAGATGACCTAGTCACAAGATAGGCGCTGCTAGATCTATTCTCTAAAAAGGTTTGATCATTCACAGTCACTGGAGACTGATTCCTCTCGTCTACCTCTGTTAAACGTTGGTCGTTCGCAAAGGCTCGACACTGAGGAACACTGGTACCTATGTCTGATGTTTGGAAACCCACAAAAGATGACGATGACAGAGTTTTAGACATTTCCTCTTGCAGAGTTGGAGCACGACTGGAGACTAATGATGATTGGTTGGATCTTTCTCGTACTATAGATTCCACGTCCATTGGGTCTACAGATGGACTCCTGGATCTGTCATCTGATAAACTTTGTAAATCTATTGTTACCGAGGAAGACGTCCTGGCTAATCCTTGTTTGGGTATCTGGATTAAAAGAAAAATATATATGAGTCACTGTAAGTAATAGGTAAGCTATAAGACTTATTCCTGACAGATTCAGAAATTAAATAAAGTGAAGTGTTAGAAACGACAGCTGTTATTTAGGTAACCTGGACATGGCTAGGGAAAAGGGAAAGGGTTCCCTTTGTTAACATCTAATGAAGAAAGGGGAAAAAAAGCAGCTCTCCTTTAAACGTTTAGGGGGAACCGACACACGCACGTAAACAAACCATACCACGGGTGGGGGTAGAACCCGCGATCCCGAGAGTCCAAAAATCCAAAGTCCGTTAGCCATGGACCACTGGGTGCAAAAAAGATTCATTCAACTGGGCCCCAAAGACTAACCGGGGCGGTCTTTGGGGTTTTGAGACCAATGTACCGGGGGGGGCAAATTTAAAAGCCCCTTTTTGTCTAAAGGCAGCCTAATGGGGGTGGGGCCAGGTAGGGGGGAGTTCAATTTTTTGGCCGGCCGGGGGGGAAAATGGGGGGTTGGGGGGGGGGGAGGGTTTCCCTGGGAGTTTGGGGGGGGAAAATTATAGGGGGGGCAGGGTAGGGGGGGGGGAAAAAAAAAGGGTATTGTTTTGGGAATTAGGGGGGATGGGGGGGGGGGGGAATTTTGGGAAAAAAAGTGGGGGTAAAAAGATTTAAAATTTTTAAAGGGGAAAAAGTGAATGTGATTTTGAAGAATTTGGGCCCAATTAAAAAATTAAATTTTGGGTTTAGGGGGATTGGGGGGTTGGGGTTTTTCCTTCGGTCCAATTTAAGAATTTTGGAGTCCACGAAATTGTTTTCGGGGTTTTTGACCCCTTGTGTAAAAATATTACGATGGAAAAACTGTTTTATATTTCCATTTCGGGGGTTAATAAAGGGGGCTGGCCCACTTGCCTCACCCGCTTGGGGGTCCCCGGGTAAATTTTAGGGTTTACTTTCTTCAGTGCCCTGGGAGTTCCCGGTTTCCCAAAGGGCCTGCGCCCTTTCCCTGTCATGAAACCTCATGACCGAGAACCTAGTTTTTCTTTTGTTCAAAGGAGCCTCGGGGAAAAACGCCACCCTACTTTTCGTGCGGGCCATGTGTTTGGCAGGATCCAAAGACCCCTTTTGGTTTCCCTGGAAAAAGTAAATCTTGGGGTTGAAAGGAACGGGGGTTTTCCCGGGGGCTTGCTTTCCCGTATCATCACAAAGGGCCCCCGAGGGGTGGGGTGGTAACTAGAAATTGGATACCCTTTTTTTGATGTGGACTAGACTGCCCCTAACTTTCCCGCGGGGGGCTGGGGCAGGGCCCGGAAAACAATTTTGGTGAAAAAAAACGAAAAGAACACGAAAAGGGGAAAATGTGTGATACATTATTACTTTTCGGGGGGGACGGGGGATTTAAATATATTTAAGCAAATTTTGATCAACACCCTAGTTTTAAACCCAAACATATGCTGCTTGGGTTCTTTAAGTTTGGGTTTTTAAAATAATTTTTTAAAGAAAAGTACCCCCCTACCCATCCTGGGGGGGGGTAGTCCCACCCCAAAACCCCCCCTTGGGGGGAAATTACCACATACCCATTTCCCGTGGGGGGTAGTTTACCCCCCTACCCCCCTCCTGTGGGTTTTGGGAGTCACCCCTACCCATCCTGTGGGTGGTAGTCCCCCAAGGCCACCATTTCCCCAAACCTTGGGGGAAACACACCTACCCATCCTGTGGGGGGTTTCCCCCCCATACCCAAACCTGTGGGGGGGTAGTCCCCCCATACCCCTCCTGTGTTGGGGTTTCCCCCCCAATACCCATCCGGGGGGGTGGGGGGTAGTTTACCCCATACCCAACCTGTGGGGGTGTCCCCCAAAATGTTGGGGGTTTTCCCCTAATTTCCCGGGGTGGGAGTTTAACCCCTACCCAATCCCTTGGGGGGGAAGACCAAAAATTTCCCAAAAAATTTTGGGGGAAGTTACCCCATTTCCCAATTCGTGGGGTGGAGTACCCCATTTCCCTAAAAATTGGGGGGGACCCTTCCCAAAATTTCCCCCATACTTTTGGGGGGGGGGCCCCCTTTTTCCGGGGGGGGTTTTACCCCCCACCCCCCTTTGGGGGGTACCCCCTAATTTGGGGGGGTTCCCCCGGGGTGGGACCCCTCCCCCGGGGGTTAACTCCCCCTTTGGGGGGTACATAAAGGGGGGGGGCTCCCCCCCAAAGGGGGGACCCTTAACCTTTTTAACCCTTAAACCCCCCGGGGGTTTTTCCCCCTAATTTTTTGGTTTCCCCCCGGGGGAAACCTTTTTACCCCTCAAACCCCCCTTTTACAAAAAATTTCAAGGGAATGGGGTTTCCCGGGGCTGTACCCAAAAATTACGAGGTACAAATTTAATGGCTTCCAAAAGGGGTTGGACTGTACCCCTTCAGAGGCATTGGACAGGGTTTTTTCAGTTAAGGAGGGTTCCCCGGAAAATGAACCCAAAAACCCCAAAATTACAGAGGTACAAATTAGGGGTGTTTCCTTCCAAAAGGGAAGGGGTGTTACATTTTTAAACCCCAATTTAAAACGAGGTACATAAAGGGTCCAGGGACTGAAACCCCAACATTACGAGGCGGTTTACAATTTTTTAATTGGGGGGGTTTCCCGGACTTTGGGGGGGGGACAAACCAAAAATTTAACCCCGAAAAGGTTTTCATAATTTGGGCTTCCGGCAAAGGGACTTTGGGGGGGAAAGGGGGTCAACATTACCCAAGGTACAAAAAGCTGGGCCTCCAGGGACTTTTTTTTACCCTTCCCCCCATTACAGAGGAATAATTTTTCTTTTCCCAAGGGGGGTGGGGTTAACCCGGAAACAAAATTTTTAACAAGAGGTTTTTGCGGAACTAAAATAAAATTTCCCGGGACTTAACCCCCAACAAAAAATTTCAGAGGACATAAAGGCTCCAGGGATGTACCTTTAACATTACACAGGTACATAATGGCTCCAGGATGAAACCCCAACCCTTAAAAGAGGCCCATAATTTGGGTCCAGGACTGTAAATCAAAATTACACAGGTAAAAATGTCTCCCGGGGGCTGTACCACAAAGTTATACAAACGGGAAACCATTACAAATGTAATAACCTGCAGGGAGACCCAGGTCAAACGGTGGTAATTAAAAAAACCTGCTGGGGTAGAGTGCCCTGTGTGTGCAGTAAGAACATCCACCCCCGGTTTTTTTTTGTCCAAGGTTTCCGGTATCCCCAGTCTCCATTGTGCACTTCAACTCTGTAAGGTTAAAATTTCTTTGTAACCAAACTATAAATTTAAAAATACAATTTTAACTGGTTTTAAAAACGTACAATTAAAAATGATCAATGTTTTTTGTATATTTCGCCTGCCCCTCGGGGGAGGTTTTTTTGCATTTTTAATATCTCTAGTAAGGGGGTGGGGCTTTTTTGGGGGGTGAAATAAAAGGGTGTAAGCCCCTTTTCCCTGAAAAGGGTGTAAGCCTTCTCCCTGAAAGCTGTAAGCCTTCTCCCTGAAAGCTGTAAGCCTTCTCCCTGAAAGCTGTAAGCCTTCTCCCTGAAAGCTGTAAGCCTTTTCCCTGAAACTGTTAAAAACCCTTTTTCCCTGAAAGCTGTAAACCTTCCCCCTGAAAGCTGTAAGCCTTCTCCCTGAAAGCTTAAGCCTTTTTCCCCCGAAACTGTAAAACCCTTTTCCCCCGAAAGCTGTAAACCTTTTCCCTGAAAAGGCTGTAAGCCCCTTTTCCCTGAAAGCTGAAAACCCTTTTCCCCCGAAAGGGTGTAAGCCTTCTCCCTGAAAGCGTAAGCCCCTTTTCCCTGAAAGCGTAAGGGCCTTCCTCCCTTTAAAACTGTAAGCCCCTTTTCCCTTAAAGGGTGGCTGCCTTTTGGGTCAAAGTCCCAGGGGCAAGCTGGGCTCCAAAGGTTTTGGTCCAGTGTGGGTAGATTGGAAAAACAATGCGTAAACCTTGTTCCAAGGTTCGTAGGTTTTGAATCTTTCCTTCAGCCCGAGATCAATGTTTTGTTTTATATTTCCCTTATCTTTTCGAATTCTTGCAATATATATATAAAATAATAAATGATATATTTTATATATAAATAAAATATAAAATATATATAAATAAATATATAAATGGTACTTAAAAAGGGTAAATAAAATATTTTATAATATTTTTATATATTTATAATATAATATATTTTATATAAATTTTATATATAAAAAGGTAAGAAAAATTTGTATATGTGAAATTCCCATTAAACGGTTTTGGGTTTTACACAGATGGGATAATGCAGTGAAATTTCACTGAAAAGGGTAATAAAGCAGTGTATATACACTGAGAGGTAAAAAATGTCAGGTTTTTAAACACTGAGATTTTAAAAATGTCAGTGTAAAAAACACTGAGAGGTGGTTCTGTTAGTAAATAAAATTTTTAACAGAGGGCACCTCCAGGAAAATCTACACTGAGAGATTGTATTTTAGGGGTTTTTGTACACTAGAGGTATTTATTTTCGTGGGATATACATTGAGAGGTTTTATAGTTAAAAAATAAAACTGGTATTCTTGACTGGTGATGTACAGGTGATTTAGCTTTTAAAGACCCCGGGGCAGTAGCCCGACCTTTTAAACCTAAGCGAATTTTGGGAAAACGGGGAGTATACCAGGTATCCCCTGCCCCCCCCCAAAATCCATCTGCAGCGTAGGATACCCCCGCAAGGAAAGTGTATACACTGTGGAAGACCCAGGGGATCCTATAATTTCAAAAAGCAACAGGCCTAAAGGGGGATTTAAACGCCCGGATACCAGGTTTTTACCCCCGTTATACCTCAGGGGTTTCACGCGGGTTTCCAGGTTTTACCTCCTTTTTACCTCATTAAAATTTACCCCTGGATACCGGGTTTTTTACCCCCGTTTTTACCTCAGGTAAAATCAGCGCTGGTTTCCAGGGTTTTACCTCCGTTTTTACCTCAGGAAAAATCAGCGCTGGGGTTCCAAAGGTTAAAACCCCCGTTTTTACCTCAGGTAT